GCTGAGGGCTGCGTTAAATTGACGAGAGATTTTTGTAATTTAGTACAGAGTCATTCCGAATTACTCGTAATTGCGAGCGTTTATTCAGATTTAACGAACAACATGCATGAAGACGAATGGTTATGTGAAAGGGCGATTCTTGCACCAAAAAATGAGAGCGTTAACAAAATAAATTCAGATATATTAAGCGAAGTAGCAGGAGAAATAACAGAGTATTTGTCACTAGAAACAGTTATGGACAGAGAACAGAGCTCTTCATATCCCGCAGAGTTTCTAAATTCTCTAGAGTTGTCAGGTGTGCCCTCACATAAGCTTCAATTTAATTTTTTTAAAAACAAAATTAGGCGTCCCAGTTATGCTAATGCGAAATTTAGATGCTCCTCGGTTATGTAACGGGACAAGGCTGCCTGTGACACATCTTGGACGGAACATAATCGGTGCTACAATTTTGACAGGCGTAGGAAAAGGTGAAAATGTTATACCACGGATCCCTATAATTACCACAGATCTTCCTTTTCAATTCAAAAGGTTGTAGTTCCCTATTAAGCTCAGTTTTGCAATGACAATTAATAAAGCGCAAGGCAAATGTTACAGGTAGCGGGGGTCAACTTAGAAAAACCGTGCTTCTCTCATGGTCATACAGCTGACAGTAGCATGTTCGCGTGTGTCAAATGCCTAGAATCTCCACATTCTTTCCCCGAATGGAAAAACATATAACATTGTGTACAGTAGCGTCTTAAAATAGTGTTCAGTTAGTTTTTTTTTTCAAAATTCCCACAATCAATTAATTAGAATTCCCACAGATCTTCGCTTTCAATTCAAAATTTCCTATTTAGTTCAGTTTCTTTTCAATTCCATATGCTGCAACTCTGACGGACCTATTAAGCTCAGTTTCCTTTCAACTCAAAAGGCTGCATCTCTGACGGATCTTTTATTTGGCTCAGTTTCCTTTCAATTCAGAAAACTGCATCTCTGACGAATCAATTTAGCTCAGTTTCTTTTCAAAAGTCTGCATCCCTGACGGATAATTATGCTCAGTTTCCTTTAATTAAAAAATATCCCATTTCCATTTGGAATAAACAGGCTATTTTCATGCTTTCCTATACGCTGCGTTTCAAAACATTTAAATAGGCTGACGAATCAATTTTGCTCAGTTTCCTTATGGCTAATGGCTGCATCTCTGACAAATCTATAAAACTCAGTTTTCTTTCAATTCAAAAAGCAATGGATAGCTCATTTCCCAGTGACCATGCGGGCGAAGCCGCGGGTAACAGACAGTATACCATATAGGGCATTTAAGAGCGTAATATGCAAATAAGCGTAGCGCAAATTAAAATCACTTTGGAATAATGTTGGAAAACTATATCCATAATATTATATTTGTGTGTATTGAAGTGTTTCATCGTATAGTCTACGATATTCATCAAACTGATGCCTGTTTTAGTTTAAATCATGAACTCCTATTTTAAATTGCATTATCCCTTGTGCAAAAAACTACTCCCTTCTAGATATGAAAATACCAATTTAGAAGATCTCATTTTTTAACCCGTGCAGTAATATTATATTAATTTATTTCCTACTTTAAACAAAACTCGAGCACGAACTATATCTACGAGAACGCAAAATAAAGACTTATTGTTCACAGGAAAATTTCAGACAGCTTTATCAAAAAAAGTGTTATTTATAACAATAGGATTTTGTTATATTATATAAATTATGTAAAAAATTAACACATAAGAATATTTAAAAAGAGTCTTACTTCTTTACTATTGGAGTGGTGCTTGAATTGAATTAAAAATGATACCTTAATATTTATACTTTTTTTAAACATACTTAAATAATGTTAAGTTAATTAATTGATTAAAACTACTTTTACGGATTTTATCGCGTTTATTTTTACTTTTTATTTTTAATTCCCGACGTTTCGGGCGCTTTCCAGCACCCATGGTCACGGGGGACTGAGATGACTGACGTCCCGATGTCATTGTTAAACCCGGAGTACCTTAAGCTTTTTTAATTATTGTTTATGGTCCGATCTATGCAAAATGAACTGACTATGTCCTGAGGTCTTGCAGTGGTATGCTTGGGTTTAGTTTTAATTTTATTGATTATAGGATCCCAAGCAGGTGGTAGTACCCAGCCTCCTTCTCTATTGAAATTAGGATGTTTTTTAATTTCAATAGCCTCACGTATCATCCTTGGTAGGAATCGGTGTTCTTTCGCGAGGATTTGTGGTCTATCAAATCTGATGTAATGGTTGGGGCCGTCTAGGATATGATCACAAACTGCAGACTTCCCGGAACGTTGATGCTTCACATCAGCTATATGTTCTTTTACGCGGGTCCTAATTAATCTTTTGGTTTGTCCTATATAAGAGAGACCACATTCACAATCAAGCTTGTACACTCCTGCATCTTGTAGAGGAATATGACACTTGACGGATGGTAGGAACTGACTAATCTTCTTCGGCGGCTTGTAGAATGTTCTAATAGAAGCTCGCTTCAAGATATAGCCAATCTTGTCTGTGACACCTCTGACATATGGTAGTACAGCAGGCACACGCTCGACTGTGGCCGGCTTCACTCGGTCACTGTGACGTAGGCGCGGGACCCGAAGCTTGTTGTCGTGCAGAACTTGCTTGACGTGCCGAAGCTCGGCGGCCAGGTGTTTGCTGTCACAGATCCCTCGTGCTCTCTGTAACAAAGATTTGCCCACGGTAGCTAACTGTGAAGGATGGTGGTGAGATTCACCGTTTAAATATCGGTTTGTATGGGTCTTTTCCTATACACAGTGTGACCAATGGTGTTATTAGGATTTCGGATGACTAGCACATCTAGGAAAGGTAAGGAATTATTTGCCTCTAACTCCATAGTAAATTGAATTTTAGTGTTTATGGAATTAAGATGTTCTAAAAATGCAGTTACTTTGTCTGATGGTAAAATTGTGAAAGTGTCGTCTACGTACCGCTTGTAGAACCTTGGTTTTACAGGTGCAGTAAGGAGGGCTTTCTCCTCAAAGTCCTCCATGAATATGTCGGCGACAATGGGAGACACAGGTGAGCCCATCGCCACACCATCTACTTGCTTGTAAAACTCTTCCTTCACAATAGATAGCCAGATGTAAGGCAATGTCTTAGTAATACTGCATATTCTGCTGGCATGTTATTTTCCTCTAGTTTTCTAGTTATAATTGAGATGCAGTCTTCAACAGGTAGGCATGTAAATAGAGACTGAACATCAAAACTGACCATGGTTTCATTGTCAGTAAGATGTAGGTCTTTTATCTCACTGACAAAATGGTATGAATCCTTAGTGTGTGCTCTTGTGTGTCCTCTGAGTGGTGATAATATTTTAGCTAAGTATTGAGCCTATCTGTAAGTTGGCGAATCAATCTGACTCACTATTGGACGTAATGGAGCATTCGGTTTGTGTATCTTTGGTAACCCATACAACTTCGGTGGTTTGGCACAGGAAGGTATTATCGAATTAACGTCCAGATTCAATTTTTCGGAGTATTTCTTAATTAGATCGCTAGTTGTTTTAAGCGTATTAGTTGTAGGGTCTGTTTTGACCTTTCGATAAGTAGTTTCATCCGACAAAAGTTGTTGTATTTTAAAATTGTAATCTGACGTATCCATTATAACCGTAGAATTACCTTTATCTGCGCGGAGAATCGTAAGCTCTGGTCTGTTGCGTAAGTTTTTCAACGCGTTAAATTCATTTTTGGGGAGATTTAATTTCGGCGCTGAACTTCGACGTAACAATGACATCGAGACGTCAGTCATCTCAGTCCCCTACATATTTATTTATCTATGGTCCCCCGTGACCATGGGTGCTGGAAAGCGCCCGAAACGTCGGGAATTAAAAATAAAAAGTAAAAATAAACGCGATAAAATCCGTAAAAGTAGTTTTAATCATGTGCAATGTTCGCGTAAATATAAGAAATCATTAAGTTAATTAATTGTTTGTATTATGCTATTTGTTTAATAATACAATACTTTTATGATAATGAAATAACTATTCATACTCATAATTATTATATTAAATCTATTTATAATTAATTACTAGTGTTGTTAAGAAATAAATTTTAATTTAATATTTGCATGCAAAAATGGTAGAATGTACGGATCTTTTACGTACACTGTAAACATCTTATTGTAAATACCTACCTACATTCAAGGCAAATAAATAAATATTATTATTACTATTAATAGCAAGAAGAAACCACATGTAATGCAGCCGTCTCAACGAGACATACTATATCGGCAAGATCAGCTTCTTCGCCTCCCACCTCCGCAGATCACCTCCACTCCCCGCAGTCGCTCTAGCGTGGCCATCGCCTTAGTCCTCAGGGGTGACAACGCATCTGCGTTTTGATTCCTAATCGAGGATAAATGTAGATGTCTATGGAACACAGCGTCCACTTTCCATCAGGTGCACTGTGTGCTCGTTGGTTACCCTTATTCTATAAAAAAATGATGATGATTCAAAATCTATTTATACAAAATACAAAAGTATTTCTACGTATGTCCGTTGTAGACTGAAACCATCCAACCAATTTTTTGTCAGTCAGAGAACTGTCTACGTCGCAAACTGTGAAACGATCTGCCAACACGGCCCACGAACTAATCAATGTCCTTCGTTGATATTCGTTGCTTCTCGTTCTTGCAACGATACTATATGCATAGAGTAGACTATATGGCTCGCCCAGCGACTCGGTCGCCGCTAGCGCGATAGTGTAAACGGGCTATGAGATTTTTTTACTTAAAATAGGGCAAACCAAACGACAGGTACGATGACATAAGTTACGGCTTACGGCAGCTCAGATTTTTACGATAGCAACACTAACTACAGCAGTCTAATCAAAATAATAATAATAAACTATCAACAATTACCACCACAGATTACTGACTATATACTAGATTACCACAATTACGAATAGTAAATAGGCGTTTAGAACTATTTGTACTAACAAAAAGCTGCTTTTTTAACAATATAGATATGCAAACGTCTCATTTAGCTGCAGCTTTAATGTCTTCATCAAGTACGTTTAATAACGTTTCCACTACAGACACTGCAGTAACTGGTACCAATATTATTAATGCAAATAATGAAAAAAAGAATGATAAACAGAATGAATCTCATAAAGAAACCGTTGAGGAAGACAAAGAAGAGATTGGTAGTGGTGATGACTTTTCTGATGAGGTATTTACAATTATTTATTTGTGAATAGTATATTTAAATTATTAAAAGGAAACTTTGTTATTAAGTACCTACTGTGTTTTCGGAGTAAAATTTAAATTTAATTGAAAATAACATCATTCATTTATTACCAATTTTGAAACAATAGAAATATATAAAAACCAATTTAAATTATGTTTGAGTAAAGCCTAATTTTTAATATCTTTTTAGGTACTTCTCTTTCATACTTACTTTATGTTCAATATTTGGTAACCTGTTAAACAGGGAAAAAATCTAGAACTGATTTCTACTAATCTTCAAGCAACTAGAATTTCACTAGTTCTTTTGGTAATTCTGATCATTGAATACCATTACAGTCTATTAAAGTTCACTGCTGAACATAGCCCTCTCGCGAAGATTACCTCATAGGGAGAATATTTGCAATGTTTTCCATGTTTGTCATGTGGGTTGACAACCACAGTTTCTTATTTTTAGTTGTTAAGACACTGCTGCCTTTCTCATATGCTTACCTCTGTTGCCTCTTACAACATCAACAGGACGATACAGGGTAGTGCATATTCCTACACCGCCACTACACTGTTGAATCATTGAATAATTAAAATATGATATTACTTGAAGGGTAAAGGGATTTAAATATATATACTATAGAGTGGACATTGGGAACATTTGTATACAAAAACTGTGAGCTTGCACATGTGTTACACCCTCTAGCAAAACATAGCAATACTATGCTGAATACTTATTCGGACAACATTTTAGCTATTCCGCATTTGGTGACACTACTAAATAATATATAAGGTAAAAATCCATTTTAGGCACGTCATCAATCACTAACATATTAGTAAATAAATAGTGATGTTACTGGCTGACAGAGGCAGAGAAAAAATTATAATTAAATATTCTAGAACATTCTACTAAAAATAATAAAATTTAAAGATTATTTGGTAAATATACATTATTCATATGATAATAAACTGAAATCACATTCAGTTTTTGCTTCATATTGTGACTTACAATACTTTAGTGAACAACTGGGTATATTTTCTTCAAAAATATTTTTTAAATTTATGAAACAAATCGTCTTGACCTTTTGGCGATGTCACTAAGTCTAAATGACGAAAATTGGAGATATATCCTATAGAACAAAAGTTACAGACAATAATTTTGTTGCTGACATCTGGTCTATTACTGCTTAAATGTCTTTGTTGACGGGTAGTGAATATTAAAGCTTTTTATTGAGAAGAATTTCCAACTAGACATCACAACAAGGAATAACAAGATAATCTTAGATACTAAATACATGATCTTTTAAAAATTCTTACACTAGTAGTTTAGTTTACAACGGGCTGTTTTCCTCTACTCCATGTCTGAGCGCGTATTTTGCATGTGGGCAGGAATAATGTCATTATTCGAGCCATGAAATCTCTCCGAATAAGTTCAACAGTCCTTTGATGTTGCAAGCAACTTCGGGGAGCAATCCCGGTGTGCGGAGGTGTTTAGCCCTGTATAAAGCAACCTCCGGACATGTCAGCAGCATGTGAGCCGTAATTTCTTCCATGCATGCCCTGAATAGGGCTATCTGTAACACCTATGCTAAACAAATGTTTGTTAAAAGAGCCATGTGATAGCACTTGTTACTATCCTGATGTGTGGCTTTTTCAGTCTCATTAGAACCTTGGTTAGGTGACTGTTTATTTCAGGCAGGGCCTTAATAGCTTGTCTACAGTCTACTAAATTTTTCCAAAGTTGAGCATGTAAATTATTGTAGTTTATACATAAAAGTGAACGAACGTAGCCAAAGGGGATTGGTATTATTGGTTCCGGTCCTATAGTGGCCAGAGCCGATCCCCTTCTGGTCAGTTATTCTGCTGCATCCTTGCCTCTAGATCCACCGTGTCTTTTCATCTATTTTTTTTAATAATCTTTATTTGCAAAAATTTGGTTGTACAATGGTGTTCGAGTATAATTTTTTCTACATATTCTTCCTCAGTGGTGTGCAAATATTAATAGTCAAGTAATTGTAACTTATACAACAATACATAATATATATAGTGGAGGGGGCTGATTACTTCTAATATATGTAAGGGTATTCTAACTGCCCATTTTCTGCCGGGATGTAATTGCTCAACAATACTTATCGAATTTTTAACAACACAGTTTTTTTTTACATTACTCAGTTGATTTGATGATTAACTAATTATGCAACAATGTCAAAACAATAAATTGCCAATAAGATGTGTAAGTATTATTATAGCTCAATGTCAAATATGACCTGACAATACTGGTTTCGGGAAAAACAATAAGCATGGTGTGCAGCCTGATTGAAGCAGCTCTCTGTATAGTGGAGAATTGGTGTAAACAACACGGACTTAATTGTTATCCAAATAAAAAAATTCTCATAATGTTCACACAAACCTGAATGCTGAATAACTATCACCTGCCGAGTCTCTTCAGCTCAAAACTCCAGCTATCCTCTGTGGTAAAATATGCACTACCACATGAAGCGTTGGCCGCTCCCTGAGCTGAACAAAATAAAAATTCATGACGACTTTCCGCAAGCATTAAAAAAAATTTTTTTACATGGTAGAGCCATGCTGCAAGTTATATTATGGTTGTAGCATGAATAGGTCGGCTCGACCGGGAAAGTATCACACTCACAATACCAACGTAAAATAGTAGCTCAATGCTGGTTTATTTTGTATGGTGAATGTAAAGAACCGGAGATGGAGACCCTTTCTATTGGAAACCAGACATTCCATCTTAGTCTTCAGGGTGATAACGCATCTGCATTTTGATTTTTAATCGAGGATAGATGTAGATGTTTATAGGCTACAGCATTAACTAGCTATCAGTTGGACTGTGTGCTTGTTTGTCATCTTATTACATAAAATAAAAATAACATAATAACTGAAACAAGTTTGGTGTTCGCCCATGCCTTTTCAATTCGGAGGTCAGAGTTTCATACTGACGCATTCACAAGTGTTTTTTTTATAGAGGTGGCAAACAAGCATGCGGCTCACCTGATGTTAAGTGACTACCGCCGCCCATGATCAACCGCAACACCAGGGGAATTGCAGGTGCGTTGCCGGCCTTTTAGAAAGGAGTAAGCTCTTTTCTTGAATGTCCCCAGGTCGTATCGGTCCGGAAAAATCGCCGGTGGTAAACTATTCCACAGAGAGGTCGTACGCGGTAGAAAACTCCTTGTGAAACGTACAGTGGTGGACCGCCAAGCATCCAGATGGTGTGGATGGTATCAGGACGTTTGCCGCGTAGTGCGTTCTCTAAATTTGGCGGCTGGGATTAATCCGAACAATTCCTCAGAGCACTCCCCATGGTATATGCGAAAGAAAATGCAAAGAGATGCAACATCTCTTCGCAGCGCCAGTGAATCGAGCCGATCGGAAAGCACTCGGTCGTTGACGATTCGAGCCGCTCTGCGCTGGATGCGGTCAAGTGGAAGGAGCTGGTACTGGGGAGCCCCAGCCTAGAGATGGGAACAGTATTCCATGTGCGGCCGAACCTGCTCCTTGTAAAGTTGCAGGCGGTGTGCCGGCATGAAATACTGTCCCGCTCTGCTGAGCACGCCAAGCTTTTTAGAGGCCAATTTGGCCTTCTCTTCCAAGTGACCACGAAACTGCACGTCACTCGATATGTCGACGCCGAGGATACCGATACTGGCTGAGGCAACAAGGGGAGTGCCTTGAAACTGGGGAGATACGACAAAGGGGTTCTTTTTAGCGGTTAACGCGCAAACTTGTGACTAGATTTAGTCGCCCCCAATCCGAGACTCTGTTCAGCAAAGACTCGACTTCGGACACAAGTTTGTTCCGGTACTCGGAGAAGTTTTGCTGAGAAATATTAACACGGCCGGTGTACAGAGCATCACCAGTGCTGTCATCTGCATAGCAATGAATGTTACGGGTTTGCAACATATCATTGACATGCAGAAGAAACAGCGTTGGCGATAGCACGCAGCCTTGTGGAACACCAGCATTAATAGGCTTGTAATCGGAGCTTGCACCGTTTACAACGACCTTGATGCTCCGATCTGCTAGAAAGCTGGCGATCCAATAGCACAATTTCTCGGGAAGCCCATAGGAAGGGAGCTTCGAAAGAAACGCTTTGTGCCAAACCCGATCGAAGACCTTCACAATGTCCAAACTAACGGCCAATGTCCCAGTTAGGTAGACTAGAAGATCACCAGCTGATCGACCACGGCGAAAACCGTATTAGCGGTCACTAATCAGCTGGTGATTCTCAAGGTACCTCATGAGCTGGCAGTTAACAATAGACTCCATTGTTGTGGATAAAAAGGAGGTGATGGCGAAAGGCCGGTAGTTAGACGGGGCTGAGCAGTCGCCTTTTTTAGGGATCGGGTGGAGGAAAGACGTCTTCCATGATTTTGGGACTACGCCTAGGGAGTAGGAGCCAAAACCAGTGCCAACTCTGGAGCACACATTCTCAGCACAATTGGGGGGATTCCGTCAGGCCCACTCCTACTGCCTCCGCCCATCTGTGAGTTAGGTAGATAGGCCGGTAGTTGGACGGGTCTGAGCGGTCGCCTCTTTTAGGGATCGGGTGGAGGAAAGCCGTCTTCCATGATTTTGGGACTACGCCTAGGGAGTAGGAGTCCGAGTAAAACCGGTGCCAACTCTGGAGCACACGTCCTCAGCACAATTGGGGGGATTCCGTCAGGCCCACTCGACTTGTGGATTTCCAGGGAGAGGAGTGCTTTGCGAACCGAATGCTGTGTGAACTGCACTTCCGGCATGGAGCACCCACACCGCGGGATGGTCGGCGGCGTACTCCTCCCGGTCATCGAAAGTCGAGTTGGACTCAAAGAAAGAGCCTAGCAGATCGGCTTTCTTCTTTGCGGTATGGGCCAGTGAGTCGTCCTCCCTGTGCAGAGATGGAAGAGATAGCTGACAGAAATTACCCTGGACGGCTTTGGCGAGAGACCAGAATGCACTGGTTCCAGAAGGAAGGCGAGTTCCAGAAGTGTGTTAATGACTCACAACTTTGAGCCTAGCATTAGAGCCTCGGGGCTTGTGGAAGCTTGGCAAGCATGTAACTTGGCGTAAACTATATATTCCAGTTACAATCCTTAAATATTTTGTTAATAATTTTGAACAAAAATCAAAGAAGTTATGTTTACATACTTACAAATTTTTAAAATTGTACCTATCTAGAACATTCGGTTTGAAATATGAATTCCAAGATAAAGTTAACGATTTCGAATTATTGTCACCCCTATTACAATTTGTTATTACCATTTAGTGTCCGCTGTACAATTTTAACTATCCAATTTTTATTTTGAAACCAGTGCAAGTAGGTACACTACATTGGTTGGTTAATCTATTGAATTAATGTGAATTTTTTCTGTATTGATTGTGAATTAATTTGAGCATTTCTCTACCCAATATTTAATGACAATCTTTGGGAGATGGTACTTATACTTGACAAATATCTTGAACCCAATGAATAATAAGGGTTCAAGATATTGGCTTTGGTAGTGGATTGTAAAAGGTGTAATTAAAGACAATTTGTCCCCAAAATTGAAATAGTTATGTTTTTAAGAAAATATCTATAGTACTGTTAAAAATTTTTGTATGCAAATGGATTTTCAGCTTTTTTATTAGATAATATCTTAATATTTTTAGTATGTTTTTATTACATTTTGTATTAATATTCTTGTTTCTATTTTTTTCATCTTTCATCTATTATGGTTTTGTTTCTGTATATCTTTTATAATCATATTTTATGTATTTATTGAAGGAATCGGAAGCTCAGCCTGGTAATAAATCCATGCCCGGAAGAGGTGTTACCTTACAAATGCTCTTAGAAGAGAAAATGTTAGTGCCTGGTATAGCTGCAATGACAATAGAATATTTGGTATGTTTATGATTATATTAATTGCTATTTGCCTCTTTTTAGTATTATCGGAACATATAATTAATTAAAGTTGATATTCTTGTGAAAAGGTCGTCAGATAAATGATGATGATGAATGGCGGGTTTACATTATAGAATTGCTTTAGGCCTTCAGGAGAGTACATAATGTTAGTGCTTTACTGTCACTCGAAACAAAAATAAAAGCGTTTCTATTTGATTTTAGCAGGAAGGCGAGAATCGTGCATAGAATCTCATTAAAGTTAATGATATTTTTATAGATATGTTGTATGCCCACAAAAACACCGAAAAATATGTTCCGAATGCAGCCATCCCAGCGGCAGCACACATACACATTTTAATGTTTTACTTACATTTCACTACATTCTCTCTCGCTCTGGTTAATAAGGCTAAGGTTAAGGTCTGCCAACTAATTTCTGGAACATCTATTGTTGTCCTTTTTTAGCCTACATAATCATGGTGTCATATTTGTTAGTCCAGGGCCGAAGTGGCTAATTGAACATTGCGACCTCAGTTTTGGCGTGTTAGTAACGTATAAACTAAAGTGATGCTAATCAATAAATGTTACTATTTTTTACTAATGTAGGTAATATTTTTTTAAAATAAGCGTTACGCCTACACTAGGACATTCTCTTTTATTGTGAAAGCAGTTCACATCCATAATTTGTGACATAGAACAATTATTTACAAATGCATGATCCGTGCGGGATTCGAACCCGTAGCGCAGTGGTTTTGCATTGAGCCTAAGCCACTGCGCAATGAGACCGTCATCAATCATAACTCTCCTAAAGACTAAGACGATATAAAATTTCAGTTTTTATTAAAAGTAGCAGTGAGCTCAGGGGCTGAGCATGTATTTAGCATGCCTCTAGTTTACTTTAACTTCAAGTTCACGTAATGCAAAATCTATTGGCTAGCTTTAAGAGTTTCACCCGTAAACATTTCTCAGATATGTCACAAAAGTAGTAGATTTAATATATTGTCGACTATCTCTAAGCATTCAATACACACATTGTATCTGTAGCGAATTTGGTTTTCATGTAACTGTTATATTAGCATATTATTGTTTCTTTTTTTTTAAATAGATTACTTCCCCCATTAGATGGAGTGACGACCTGGTAGGACATGCAAGCCGATGGGATGCAGGTGTCTCAGGACCGTGATTTGTGGCATTCATTCATCGTTCAACGATGATGATGTTGAAACAATAGTGGAAATCAATGACACCTTTATATTGGAATATTTTAGAGCTTATTGTAGAAAATTTATTATAACCTGTAGTATTTATTGTTCAATTATATCATTAATTAAATTGTTAATCTAGATCCAGATTAGAAGACATAGGTACTGCTGTATCTACTGTATCTTATTAGACAGCCTAGGGCCGCAACATTTCTATATCCTGCAGGATATTTTCCGAAAAATCTTCGAATATTTGATAAAGTGAGTGCTGGCTACGAAATAATTAAGGCACTTCAGATACATAGTATTTGCTGCAATTTTTCAGGGACAAAAGTTTGTGGGGGACTTACAACCTGATGGCAAAATAAAATCGCATGAAACTGAAACAATATTTTGCTCACCTTCTGCATGGGCAATACATTGTAAACGAATTATTAATCCAGATAAAAGATCAGGCTGTGGTTGGGCTTCAGTTAAATATAGAGGCAAGAAATTGGACACTATAAAAGCTACATATCTTCGTAGGAAACAGTTGCAGAGAGAAAACATGCGCTCTGATGGTATACAACTTATTTTGCTTATATTTTTTCTATTTATATGTATAAATTTTCCCGTTAATGTTAAGAGTAGGGACTGCAAAAACAAAAAGTCGTGGGATCGAATCTGCTGTTCTACTACCTTCGTCTAAGGGTCTATTAGAATTTAAAGACGTTATTTTGTGATCTTTTCATTAAAATATACTTTTGTAATTATTTTAATAAATAAAACATTTAAATAAAGCATTTTGTGCCTATAATAGTAAAACATTATGTTTAAAAACTCAAAAAGCTGGGTTTTTAAACATTCAATTTTGACTGCCTACTAATTTTGCCTACCATCGTTAAAAGTATATATATGCAATCCTGAACCACACTTAATTTCAGGCAAAAATTGATTTAACACCGTGTTTTGTCCATTTATTGAATTTGTGTACCATTTTGTAAATACTTATTAATATTCATTTCATGTTCGTTTTTGTTTTGAATAAGTTGAAAGTAATTTAGATTGAAAATGTTATATTATTTTTAATAAATTTAGCATACAAATTTTTTATTTGTGCTCCTTTATTACTATAAAATTATTGAATAATGTAATTTTGTTTACAGAGGAGAACGAAATGGAGGTTGAAAGTGCTCCAGAGCCTCCACCACAAAGAATTGTAATGAAACACAATACTGTTCCAAATAGAATGATGCAACAGTAATATTTTAAATGTTAAATGTTATTTTACTTTACTGCTGTATAAATCAGTATTTATTATTATCTTTTATTTCAGTGATGCAAATATGCTGATAGAGGCAGTATCTTTTTCTTCGGCTGGCAAAGTACAACCTTTCCTAGTCTCTGTCAATTCTAATGCCTCCCTCGTCCTTGATCTTCACTGTCATTTGAAAAAAGAAGAAGTTCATGGTTATTTAGCAGGAACATGGGATTTGAATAGTCATAGTATGTAATTTTCGACAGTGCTTTATAAAATGCAGTTTATTATATTATATTGTTTCAATTCATTACTTATTACAGCGGTCATGATTACTCACACATTTCCCTGTCTAAAGTCTAAAAGTGACCCAAGACCAAAGGTATTGGTTGAAATAGAGATTCAGATGGAGATGGAAAAACTTGGTTTAACACTACTAGGTTGGTACCATTCACATCCAACAAATCCTGCTATGCCAAGTCTCAGAGATTGTGACAATCAACTTGAATATCAAATAAAAATGAGAGGTCCATCTGAAATATCTTATTTACCTTGCATTGGTGTAATATGCTGTAAGTAGGTTGTAAATGGTCTTATGTAATATGTACTTCTTGCACATTGTAATTCACATTTTGTATCTTTACAGCTCCTTATAATCCGGAAAGTCCTGTTTTGGAATCATCGTTAACATTCTTTTGGGTAATGCCTCCACCAGAACAGAGGCCTACTGAATATCCTCGGCCATTATTACTTCAATATAATATGATACATGACAGCCATTTATCAACACATGCAATGGAACAAATAAAGAGAACTATTAAATATTACTTTAATTATGCAGATGATACATTTGTAAACTTTAAAGAGAATTATAAACCTGACATTACATTTTTAGATAAGTTGAAGTGTACTTTGACACCTAAATTCCCAAGAGAACAAAGTGATGGCTTGTTATGGCATTTCATACGCGATGAGCTGGGCTGTTCATCTGAACAAGATGAGAAAATAGACTTGGATGCTCTTTTAGCTGTTCCTCAACCAATTCCTCCACTTAAGCCTACCCAACCAACATCTATACCTAATTTCCCGTCAGTTAGTACTCTCCAGCAAATGGTTAGCCGACCAGCTGGTGTTCCTCCAATAAACGTATCTTCAGGTATAGGATCAATATCTCCGCATAAATTTGAAGCTCCACAGTTGAATATACCAGTACTTTCAACATCATCAAAGTCATCAAAATCAAGTACATCTTCATTGTCATCTGCTTACCCCACAGGATTAGACATGTTGACGAGTATGGCTTTAGGGTTGGGATCAGGAAACATGCCTTTGCCTTTAGGTGCTGGCAGCTTAGAAAGCTTAGCTGCTGCTAACAGCATGTTAACTGGTCTAACACCAGGAATGTCGTCTAACTTAGCAGCAAGTCTATCAAGTAGCAAACTCTCCGACCCACCATCTTATGCTGCATCTTTACAGAATTTGACAGCAATGGGATCTTATGAAAAAACGTCTACTAGTACTTCAACAAGCAACACAACTTCTACAGCGCCAATCCCAGCGAGTATTGCTTCTAATCTCATGATGAGTTCAGCCGATATTGCCAATGCTTTGTTTTCAGCGAGCAAATATTCCAGCGCAGGTATATTAGGTATTCCTGATCCAATGTCGAAATCGACATTAGCCGCTAATAACATGTTTTTGTCACCTTCTTTGCTCAAAATGCAAGAGTCTCTTTTAAAACCTCTTTCAAGCAGTAGTTCTATATCGTCTAAAGTTGGCCTAGATCAAAATGTTCTGATGAAATCTCCACATGACCTACTGAAAAGCACGAAAGACTATCTACCGCCAGATTTTGGTAGTATTGGGAAAGGAAAAATGGAAGGTTCCTTGGATACAAGTAAACATGCGGATAGTAGTACAACTATAAAAGGTGACTCGTCGAAATCCATCCCTCTTACTTCAGATAATCAAGCAACGGACTTTAGTATGTCATCGCGTGTGGGCGGAGAATCATTTTTGAACCAAATGTTGGAACTAACTAAAAAGACAACAATGTCTGATTACATGACAGAATATAATCAGCCATTAAAGTTAACAGAAGAAGAAAGTCAGGTTCCACTATCGTCAAGTCATGTCTACTCTAACACATCTAGCATTGCTGATACGATAGCGCAAGTATCAATGGGTAATTATTCTAAAATGGACGACGTTATTGATTATAATAAAAGCCAAGATTACAGCATGACTAAAAATTCTACAAATGAGAGTGAAAAGTAAAGAAAGAACTTTTACATTGCTATTGGTTTAAGATATTGGCAAATGTGTATGCTGATATAGTCCCAATACTAAATTTTATTCTTGACGTTGTAAGAATGTATTATAGGTATAAGTCGATTTATGTGCTATTACTATAACATTTCATTTGCCACTTTTCTTAATGTTTAATGGATAAGCTATTTTTTGTGTGATAGTGCTTGAGAATAAGTATTGCATTGCCGTGTCGTTTGTTAATGATACCCGCAAATTCACAAAACTGAAATAAACAAGTGGTAAAAGTAAAAAAAAATGATAATTGTACAACCAACCTAAATATAAAATAAATAAAATGAGAACATCATCAATGTAGGCGAAGTCAACTAAATACGCATTATTAACTCAAAAAGTATCTACTGGTCAGATCTTGATCAAATTTATATTTGACCACATGAGAAGCACCAGATTTCAATTAAGAAAAGAAAAAAGTAAAATAGAAACTCCACCTTTTTTGAAGTCGGCTGAAAAATTAAAGTAGCTTACATCAATATGAATACTAAATATTTTAAAAATTCATGTGTAGCAGCTCCGTGATTTAATAGTAGTCATTTATTAAATGCCTATCTCGTAAGTAAAATTGGGACCTTATTTTAGCCTTTTATTTGAATAACCATGACGTGCATTCAATTAAATACTGGCATTTAACTAAAGCGGGCTACATACGACACGATATCGGTGGCGATCTAGGGTGGAGTAGTGGGGATGCCTCCTAGATTGCCTCTAAATCGTGTCGTATGTAGGGCCATCCTAAGTCGTGGCCGATATCGCCTCCTTAATCGGCTGGCAGGAGCAAAAATGCTTCCTAGATCAAGCGGGCTACATACGACACGATATCGGTGGCGATCTAGGGTGGAGTAGTGGGGATGCCTCCTAGATTGCCTCTAAATCGTGTCGTATGTAGGGCCATCCTAAGTCGTGGCCGATATCGCCTCCTTAATCGGCTGGCAGGAGCAAAAATGCTTCCTAGATCAGCCGATGCTTCCTAGATCGGGGCACCGCCCCCCTCCTTACTGCGTGTGTGTAGGCGCATCGGCCCGATTTCTTTAGGCAGTCGCTGCCGGCAACCCTCGCGGAAGGAAGTTAACAAAACAGTGATACTGAATGACCTTTTTTATATAACAAAATTTTTACATTTTAATCATATAAACGGAGTAGAAGCCTATGGCACTGATATTTTACAAAAAACAAAAAAAAAAAGTGATTAAAATATATAAATTAATTGAAATTTTATCGAAATTCAAATCATATCCACCCTAGCCTGTGACCCTGCGAAGTGACATGGTCAAGAATGCCTACTAAACTAATTTTTTTATTGCCGTTCGTAAAGTAGAGTGTATGATGTAAGTAAGGAGAAGATAAAGCCTCTCCTCAACAACTAACTCCTATTCCAACGCTATCAACACAAGACCGCACTCATATCTCTTACAACTCCACAAGACCACACTTCGATCTCTTACGTGCCTTCATCCTCTTATCAACAACTAACTTCTACTGCTTCACCATCTCCACATCAACAAACAAGTTATATAAAAGGGAGTATGTCCGAAATTAAAGGTTTCTTTATGTTTAAAAAAAGATATAAGCTATTTTATTTTCTGATAGTTTTACTCCATAAATAAAGATTACATTAAAAAAAAAGTATACATATTATTATACAAAAGTATTTTATTTCCTTGTTTGTTGTGTGTATACATAACCAGATTTTGACCAAAGCAGAAATGAACAAAGAGAAGAAATAACTAAATAGCATAGGTAGGAGAAATTGACGTTTTTATATAAGTGGCGAAATCATTTCTAGAAGGTTATAAAAACTGTCTTCATCCATCCGGAGAAAATTAATGACGTCCTTGGATTACAGGCCATTTAGTACGTTTATGTAGCTTAATTTTTATTTTTTTTGGAGCCATTTTTTCACCCAGCAACTCCTCTTTTTCTATTTTCGAATAAATTTACCGAGAGGGCTAATGCCAAACCAATACATTGGTGTTTTAAGAGAGTTGAAGCTATTTTGAAGAACTCTACCGCATATGTGTTCCGCTCCAAGTCCGAACGCGTACTGCTAGGCAGGCCCGTGTGTAGGGTCTGCCCCGATAAAAGCCCCGATTTCTTTCCACCCTAGATCGCCACCGATATCGTCTCGTGTGTAGCCCGTTTAACATGCAAAACGTCAAAGTACTGATTAAGTCTACCCGACTGATGTTTCTTCTCCCCATTTTCGTACGTATGTACCTATGTCTGATTAATTGTTTGTCCCTGATAATGATGAGATATGCTTTATTGTTCGTGTCATGAAGTCGATATATTAGTTCTCAAAGGTGAAACGATGAATTAAAAAGATCTCATAACTTATAATTTTATCGCTTATTAAGTATTAATCCTACAGTATTGTGATAAATGAAATGATAACCTGCTCCTGCTCTTGTATGTAAGCATCGTAAAAATAATATTAGTTTAAGATAATTAAGACTGTGTTGTAATGGTTGTATTAAAATATTACAATAACCTTAGATCTATTATGGTTCCGCTGTCATTAAAAAATCTTATGATTTCCCCGTGTTCGTCCTAATTCGGAAAATTAGAAACTTAAGAATTCATGACCTAGTTAGATATAAATTTAATTGCGACTCGGTGGTAGCCAAGGGCTTAGCGGCTGTTAACGTGCTACGGTTTCGATTCTCGCAAGGAATGTATGGCTTATTAGATATTGCTTAAACATAATCTTAAAATTGATACCTATTTCATGTATACGTGGTAGACCCACTCTGCAGCTATATTATGATTGTAGCATGAATGGATAGGCTTGATCTGGGAAGGATCACGCTCTCACAGAATACCAGCGTAAAATAGCAGCTTAATGCTGCTGTGTTTCGTATGTTGAGTGTAGAGAACCGGAAATCCGTTTTAATACAATTGAGGCATTCCACTTTAGCCCTCAAGGTTGACAACGCATCTGCATTTTGATTCTTAATCGAGATGCAGTGGCTCAGGATCGTGCTTTGTGGGATTCCGTGGAGGAGACTTATGTTATGATGACGGGTTCCATGGGCGTAAAATTCGCACACTGACTCGCCACAACTTCTATTCAAGGGCCCTCGCTATGGTTTACGGGCTCTGATCACAGGCTGCGCCAGTATACGACAGTGTCGGCCTGTTTTGTGCTGGGCTAGTTCCACATGCCTTTGGTCGCTCCAATGATTTATAGAACTTCTTCTGATCATTTTGGAAGAGATGATTCTGGTTGAACCGCCTTGACCTCTCGGTGTATCGCCGAATCCGCTTCCCCCAAGCATCGATTTTCTGCTACAGATTGTTTATGCGCTCCACCAGTTTTGCGTATTATCCGGCTGGGACAAACTGACATTTGTCCCAGCAAATGCCACCCTGACGGTGCGCACAATTCTTGGCCTGTTATTGCCTGACCTGAAGCTTATCAGTCTGCCGATGAGGGCCCTAACCTTTGTGATAAGATTCTCAATTCTTATTCTCCAGGCTGAGATGGTGTACTTTGTCGTCTGAATTAACCACAACCGGGGGATCTATGGCAGCATTTACAATAGTCACTTGCCGAGCAGCATCTCCAGTCACAGCCGGTTCATTCGATGAGGGAATAGCCTTATGCCGTAATCGTTCGAGTTCGGCATCATTAAATATTTTCGAGCGCATGATGTAACGTATACGCATGATGTAATCATGTAATGTAGGTAACTTATATTTTTTAATGCTATGAACATTGCTAATAATCCCTTTAACCACTATTTATAAGCTTAAAATGCTTGTGTTAAGAGTGGTTTTAGATATCTTTTTTGATCTTTAAAAATGCGACAAGTAGTTTTGACAGTCTTCTCTTGATGTTAACCTAAAGCGGGGTTTAGATTTGCAAGAACTTCTGCCAAGTTATTCTGCAAGTACTTGCAGAACCGTTTACACTACCAGCAATATTACAATCGCAATTTGCTTCTGCAAGCAGCCTGCAAAATAACTTGTGGAAGTACTTGGAAAAGAGTTTACACTAGTAAAGCCAATATTTTTTGAATGCAAGTCAGAGGATCCAAATTCAGAAAGTTGAAATCAATCATCATGCCAATCTGTAGAAAAATACGTGCTGCTGCTATAGTAGTCTTATTTAGTAGTATTAAAAAGAGTTAGCAGCACAGTATCACCCCGCGTTCAACCTTTTTTATCTGACATCTTCCTCCACAACTTTCAACTTTTATTTGCAAGTAAAATAAGCCGCAAGTTACTGCCAAAACTTTCAAAATAGTGTTTACAATTGCGACTTGCGGCAAGTCCTGCAAGCTACAAAACTTGCGGAAGTGAGCTTGACGTGAATTTTTACACGGTAGGAATAGTTTGCAAAAGTCAACTTCTGCAAGTTTTGTTGCTAATCTAAAACCCGCTTAACACTAGCCAAAGAATTCTGAAAAGACTGAAACAGGTGAAAATCTGAGGGTGCAAGGTCAGGACTATATGGTTGTAGGTGATCCACTTTTTCTCACTTGTGGTCAATCTTTTCAAAATGGTTCGGTTTCATTACATTTTAGTAGAGAATCGCAAATGAGTACACGATTCATTAGGTTTCGTTCCGTGTACCATCGTACCCAAATATCGAGCTTTTTTGTATATATATGGGTTAAAATTGTTTTGTTGTCAATCCCCAATTCCTCGGCTATGGCGTAACTATTAAAATGCCGATCTTGCTGTACTTTTTCATACATAGTGTCGACTTTATCCATATGATTAGAGCGTGCTGCATTTTTGACATCTTCCCGGACTGAAAACGCTTGAACTAACTTTGTGCTATTCTTACTAATACAGTATTAGGTCCATAAACGTCAAAAGTTTTCGCGGCTGGTGTTACATTTTTCCGTTCTTTGTAATAAAACTTCAAAATGAATCGAATTTCTTCGTTAGTTTCACTCATTTTGGCGGACAGAAAACAATTGAAAAATGGCGGGAACGCGTGT